GCCTTCATGTGCTTGAAGGACTTGCTCCCCACCAGAGTAAGGGTATGTCTGTACTGGATAGATGGACTGGACACTTGGCACTAGACTACAGCAAGGACAGTCAACCTTTTTAATCTTGTAGCCATAAACCAAAATATTTTATATGGGTGAGGTCTATAGGACATGTGAGTTTTTTTTGAGATTTGCATACCCTAGAGCTGATGATCTGCGCTCTAGCACAGAGGATAATTTAATCGACTTAGAGGAAATGAGCAAGAATACTGAGTAATAAGCCGAGGAGAAGTTTGGCATTTTTAATTACTGCGGTTTTGTTGTCCCTGCACTAAATGTCTGAGCAATTGGGCTAGCTTAAACTGACCACAATAAATGCTACCTGTGTTCCCTGGGTCTAGGTCCTCACTGTATATGCACCCCTCTAAGGTTTTGTGTCCCAGGGTTCTTTATACAGATCCTCTCATGTTCTGTCTTGGCCTGTGGCAGACCTCTTGTTTTTTTGTGGAACTTGAAACCAAACTCAAGAGGAACGATCATCACCTTGGGTGATCTTAACCTGCATCCACTGCACAGTGGGCAGATTCCAGGTTAAAGCAACAAACAACTCGTTTTTTAATATAGACTCCCAGCTATTTGGGCAAGCATGGGTTTTAAGTATAAATATACATTTATTTAAGTGTTTTAGGTATGGATTATCAAGGATTTTGACAAAAGTGTTGTCTTAGGCTGTGTTCTTACAACAGAGACCACTATAAAATGGGGCTGATATTGCTCTCCTCTTTTCCTTCCTCTTCCAGGGGGGTAAGAGTTGCTTCTTAGACAGGTACTTGTGTGTTTTTGCTCAACCGTGTATTTCAGACCTCCTCTGGCTTAGATGTAAAGTCCCAGAGCCTGGGAAGATTGAACTAGACTTGGAACCATTTGAACACTCTTCAGAAGAGGGATTTAAAAAAGAAAAAATAAAAGAGTAGGGGACTTGGGCATTGCCCTCAAGACAAGGAGATGCAAGGCAATACGTGAGATCAAGATTTTAACTGTATTTCATAGATTCATAGATGTTAGGGTCAGAAGGGACCTCAATAGATCATCGAGTCCGACCCCCTGCATAGGCAGGAAAGAGTGCTGGGTCTAGATGACCCTAGCTAGATGCTTATCTAACCTCTTCTTGAAGACCCCCAGGGTAGGGGAGAGCACCACCTCCCTTGGGAGCCCGTTCCAGACCTTGGCCACTCGAACTGTGAAGAAGTTCTTCCTAATGTCCAGTCTAAATCTGCTGTCTGCTAGCTTGTGGCCATTATTTCTTGTAACCCCCAGGGGCGCCTTGGTGAATAAAACTTCACCAATTCCCTTCTGTGCCCCCGTGATGAACTTATAGGCAGCCACAAGGTCGCACCTCAACCTTCTCTTGCGGAGACACACACAACCCTTTTCCACAACCCTTTACACATGTATTTGTGTAAAGGGTTGTGGAAAAAGCAGAATGTATGCACAGGTCATAGAAAAATCCTGGCTTCTTGAGCTTGATGTGCAATTTTAGTTTCTAATTTTTAATGGTAAAAGCTGTTGACAGTGTAAGCAGCACCTAAAATACAAATAGGTAAAAGAATGCACCCAAGTTGGGAACGTGTGTGTTGAGCTACATAAACATTTTAGCTTTTACTTTAATTCCTTTTGGTCCCTCTTCTCAATTAGCTAAATGTAAGTAGTTAGACTTGCAGTGTTCTTATGGTCTTTTAAAATATTTTTCTTTGCAGCTGTAGTGATAACCTATAATGTTTTTGTTTTAAGCCATAGTCACAAGTTCTAAATGGGTATCTAGTTTCTTCCATGTTATCCCTTTCCTCTCCCACACCATTACTTGACACTCCCCATATAACTATTATGTTTAATTCCAGAAAATCTAGACTGTTTTCTTGAATTAAACAAGTACATACTTATAAAAATCCCAAACTTATTTTTAAATTTGTCTTTTTTCCAGTTTTTAAAAAATGATTTGGGTGTGTTTCTCTGAAGACTATCTACATGTCAGTTTCAAGTGTAAGAATAATTGTTACTCAGCCAGAAAAATGAACCTTTTTTTTTTTTTGTTGTTGTTGCAAAGTTTAACTCCTCCATTCCCTCAGCATGCACTCAACTGATAAAGGGTTTTCCTTAAGCTTAATAGAATTGACTTTTGGGCATAAGCTAAGAATATATTTTTGAGCCGAGAAAAAGGAATTGCAATAGCTTTCACTGAGGAAACTTTAGCTATGGTATGTGGCTTCAATCAAATGTAGTGATGTACTGACTTAAATTTCTTTGTCATGTGTTGTGTCGTCCGTTTCCCCCCCCCCCAATTTATTTAGGTTTTTGTTTTGTTTTTAAGTTTGAATGTATAGTGTTAGAAAAGCTCAAGTGATGCCATTGGTAAGGAATTGTCTGGTATAAATCAAGTTAAGTGACCACTTTTAGCAAACAGATGTATACTTTTAATGAACAGTCTTGTTACTGGTCTCTGCAGAGTTTAAAACATGGAATGGATGGGAAACTAATTCCCTCTTTGCAAAGCTACACCTGGTCAGGTTTGAAGAAAAGCTTTTTCTGTCCAAGTTCTGTTCTTGAAATTTCCTTTACCAACTAACTGAACTTTTATTTAAATGTGTAACACAGAAGTGAGTCTAAATTATGAGCATATAAAATGAGTAAATTGCTCTTTCATTTAATTGCAAGGTCCTGAGTTCAGGGTTCTCTTCTTTTGCAGAAAAGTTCAGCTACTCCCTAAGCAAAACTAGGATTTAAATGTATTGCATATGTTGCTCAATTTTTAGTTATTTGTGCTCAGTTGCTAAACCTTTAAATTTGTTCTGTCAATCCCTAGGAAGCTTGACTAACAAATTAAGAGTAATGCCTGGCTGGTTAGGCAAGGAAGCATTTTGCCAATAGCAGCGTCTTTTATACTGCTTGTGACTTTATGTAGAATTAGAGGGACTCAGATTAGTTACGGAGTAATCTTACGGGAAAGACTGAGGAGAAAAGCAAATGCAGAGGTGAACTGAACAAAAACTACTAAAGTTAATTAGGCTTTGCTGGTTTTATCTATGGTGTCAAAATGGTCTTTGGTATTAAAATGTATCCTATGTTCTTATTTTTCTTCAGATCTTCAAGTGCTGACCTTTCTGCTCCCTTTAAGTTATTAACTTTTGCTGCTCTGCGAACCCGTGAAGATGTCTCGCAGCCCAGATGCTAAGGAAGACCCTGTGGAATGCCCCCTTTGCATGGAGCCTCTGGAGATTGATGATATCAATTTCTTTCCTTGCACCTGTGGCTACCAAATCTGTCGCTTCTGTTGGCACCGTATCCGCACTGATGAGAATGGACTTTGTCCTGCTTGCAGAAAGGTAAATATCCTGGAATGACTACTTGCTTTGCAAGTGTCACAAGGGTCTTTCTTTGGGTTAGTACATAATACACGTTTACATCGGAGAACTGCATTTCAAATCCATGGTTTAGATCAAAACCGAGCTGCTGATTTGTTTGGAACCTGTGTTCATATTAAAACCCTTGCACAACCTTGATAACTCGGAACTGGATTAGCAGTGAAGGCTGTGTCAGGGCTGAAGCATGTTGGTATTCACAGAGCTGTTAAAGGAGAACGAATACATTTGGGAATCTCGATTGTGGAGTACTGGCATAACTGTTTTATGACGGGTGATAAAGATTACAGCAGCTGGGTATGGCACAGTAGAAGTTGGGGTATGGTGGCAGAGCTGTATGGTGAGGGAAGTTTATAAAATACCTGCCTATGCTGTGCCTGTGGGACCTAAGCTGCTAGTCCTTTGCTTTCTATGGATCTCAAACTGGGGAAAAAATATATCTTATACCCCCAAAGCTTTTAAAAACCTGCCAGCCCTTGGTTGGAGTGCTTGATGAAGATATTGCATATCTTGCACTCTTGCCCCAGAAGCTCAGAACTGTTCCTTTTACGTACCATTTTAAAAAAAAATTCATCCAGTCTCTTTACTTGCATCTCTTAACTGATGTTTTGGTTATCCTGCTACCTTGATATAAACCCCTTCCCTCCCTCCCCTCCCCCCCCTCCATCTGAACCCCCCACCTGACCTTCAACTTCACTAACTTCCTGGTGTCCCAGGGCCACAATTGTAGTATCTGACTTGTTTCTCTCTCCCCTGCATGTAGTTTTTAGTTAAAATCCTGTTGCTTCCTTTTTTCCACTTTACTCTTCCCTCTGTGTCCCTGTCTCTGAAGTCATAGGTGGTGATTTCATCTCCAGTCTCTTTGCTTTGCTTCTCACCTTTTTCCCCGCTATCGAAACCCACCTGTTGAGGTCCCTTTCCTCTTGATGTTTTTAAACATGACCCTATCTTCAGTGAATACTTTTGTTTGCTTTCTGTCTCTTACAACATCCAATTCCAGCTCCCTTTCTAGACCTTAAGTAATCTTGCTTTCCCTGAACCTCTGCACTAATTTCCACACTCTACCATAAGCACCTTTAGTCCTTTTGCTGTGTGCCTGAGCACCTGGTTTACACTAGGGAGATTTTACAAACCAGCAGTTGAGACCTTTCAAGAAAGCCTGGAATGCACCATGTATAATGCCACATAAAATCATTACCAGTGATGCACAAAAACTGTGTGTACTGCTTTGAGAGTGACTTTCTGCAAGGAAGACCTGAGTAGTGTCATCAGCCACCAGAGCAGTCTCCACCAGTGCAGTGTAAGTGCCAGCATGACAATGTGAATAGTGCAACTGATTCCTCCTGCTTCTGATGTGGTCTGTCTAGATTTTAACTTCTCTACTCTGCTGGCTCAAGGGCAAGGGGGGTTTTTGTGTGGTTTTTTTAGTGGGTTTTTTTTCCCTTGGAGTTCCTTTGCCTGCACATATCACTTCACACCTGGGATCTTACTGCATACTATTTCTCTCCAGCACTTATTTCTTTGATTTGCTCTGTTCTTGCAACCTGGATTTTGGAATCTCTTGAAGACATTGTAAAAATATGCCTCTAGTTGCTGCTAAGCAGACCGTGGGCACTTGTGAATGTCTGGGATAACTATATTTGCTGAAGCTGAACACCATAATTTGGAAATTCTGATATTCAAGTAGGTGTTTCAATTTGTTGAGTTGGATTTCATTTTTGGGAGAAAACAAATCAACTAAAGGAGCGCTGCACCAAGACTTTGGGCATAAAAAGCCCTTCTGAGGCAGAAAGGAGACGTGGTCGTCCGTATTATGAACCTACATTGTATTTTGGCATTCCTCCATCTATGGAACACAAGATAATTCAGACAGAACTGAGGCTGAGGTACCCACCAATTGGAGTATTAAAGGGCCTTGATAGAAGAAACTGAGGAGAACACTACCTCCAGGGCCCCCTGACATTAGTGATATAGACCAAGACCCATGTGTGCCAGAGACTGCCAAGATCAGTTTGGTCTCAAAAACTTCAGAGATGGTGGCAGGAGTGTGTTTGAAGTGTGTTTTGAAGACAGCACTTTTTCAAAAGTGGGAGGACTTCCAGTCAAGGTATGTTATTTTCCCTTTGAGTTACTCGGTTTATATATGATCAGGAACTAGGGTAGAGTTTCCTGAGTTCATGTAAATGTTGTTATGAAATCAAATCAGGATGAGGGCCTGCTGACGGTATAGACAGACATTGTTTTATAGTACCTTTTATTGGCTGAAAAGCACTTTATAAGGTGAGTTGGGATAGCTGTACCACATTGCTGGCTCTTCTACTGCAACACTGTGCAGCTGTATTCCTTGTGCCCCACATCTTTTAGAGGTTACTTTTTTGATGGTATTGTTTAGGTACCACATTTTTACACCTGTCTGTGGATAGTTGTTCCAAAGGCTGAAGTACCCTGCGGACTGCACACAATAGCTAGTTGAGTAAATCTACATGTGCTCATTCACAGTGGTAAGCAGGATAGCTTCCAAAATTCTCAAACATGGACAGTGTCCCCATAGTAGGATTATTGTAGCAAACTACATACTGGGTATTGTGCCCCCAATATGTATGTCATACTTGTGCATACTCCAGGGCATGATGTGTAGTTCTCCCCTACTTTTGTTTAGCTGCAGTCACCCTTCGATTTTGCTTTTGTATGCAGTGCATAAGCAGTTTTCCACCAAAGAACTGTTTGTTTGGGCTGAAGGTTTGTGGTGGAACCTAATCTTTCCAGTGTTGCTGGTGCCAGTCATTCTACATGGAACAGTAATCAAAAGTTTCTTACTGGTAACTTAACTGCAGAGGACTCGGGGAGGAGGGGAATTGGTACCATAAAAACCTTTGCCAAGCTAGACTGATGATACTAATTAAGGATAATGCTAACTTGTACCCAGGGTGGATTGATTTAAAGCAAAGATGTTAATTGTTTTGCATTTGTACTTATCTCCTGAAGGGTTGATTTGCCCTGAAATACTGACTTGCTACATGCATGTATACTGTCACTAAGGAAAATATTTTTGATAAACAGGAGGATACATGATTTGTGTACACTTTATTTGAGCAATTGCATAGCTCAACCTAACCTTCATATTCTTAATTTTTACATTTTATCCCAATGAAAGAAATGGGTGCATCCTTCTCACCAGATAGTTGGTGAATGGTGCTTCTAGTTATGACCTGCCTTCTGAAGATCCCAGTGCAGTGGAGGACCCAGAAGCACTGCACAGCTGCAAATGCAAGTCGCAAGGTGGGGCTGGACTCATCAAAGATAAATATCCCAAGCACCCTGGGGGTGGGAATGGGGAAAGGGTGAAGCAGTTTGCCCACTATCATCTTTACCTTGTTTGGATTCAGATTCAGCTTCAGTTGGTTCACCCACACCCAATCCTCAGTTGCAGCCAGGAGAACTGGGTGTGATTAGAAAACTACAACATGATATACTTCTTACCTATTAAATCTCTTGCTTATGATCTGTGTCCTACTTCCTTTTAGAAGGGACACTTGAATTCAGTTAATGCACTTACAGTACTTTTAAAATAGTTTGTCTATTTAAAAAAACAAACCCAAGAACAAACCTGATATAAAAATATCCTGAATTATGTGGGATAAATTCAAAACAGCTGAAACTGAACTAAAGGAAGTATTTTCTGTGGCTAGTGAATTGAACTGACTTGCTTCTGGTCCACAGGTCCTCCCAAGATTTTACAACCAATAGACCTAAACCTCGCACAACCTTTGGCTTTTTATTCATAAGTTGGAAAGTGGATGGCATTTTCATTTCTCATGTGACTTCTTTATTTTGACCTAAACACTGAACTAGTTGAACAAATTTAAACTGAAAAAAATGGTTTGTACTTTGCAACTAAAGCTTTAGTTGCAAGGAAGTGGTTGAGTATTTCAGTAAGCTCTAGTTTGAGTTCCTTAGCCAGTGATTTGCATCAGTTCAGTGGCTTGTATTTGGCCATTAAGAGGAAGTCAGGTTTTCCGGATCAAGAACTACACTTGATCTGAGCCGACAATGAGATTAGAGCCTGATGGGTGTTCATGGAACGTCTCTTGATTTGTTTTGCCCTTTTCTAGTAGGGGTTTCCAGAGTGGTGGTGGGTGAGTCGCAAGCTCTTTTACTCCTCCTGACCTTTTTACTTTGTGGCCACTTTTGTTCACTGTGTATATAAGGCTGCTTGATGAGATCTGTGTTGAGATTTGGAGTGAGGAGTCATTAATATGCTGATGACACCCAGGTCTCTCTTTCCATTCTAATCAGAGTCCTGCAGTCTGTCTGTTCCCAGTGCCTGGTTGCAATTGAGGATTGGATGTGGGTGAACTAATTAAAGCTGAATCTAGACAAGATAAAGATGATGGTGGTGTGCGCAGACTGCTTAACTGGGGGCAGGAGGATGGGAATTGAGATGTTTTATCACTGATGGGATCCAGCCTCCCCTTGTGACTCAGGTTTGCAGTTGTGTGGTATTCCTGGATCTGCTGCTGCACTTGGATCTTCAGATGGCAGCCATGTTTAGGAATACCTTTCACCAGCTTGGTCTGGTGAGAACGCTGCATGCCTTTCTTTCAGACTTGTATCTGGTCACTCCCAGCCATGTTTTTTGCAACCTTGAGGCTAGACTACTGCAGCATGCTCTGTGGGGCTGCACCTGATGACCATCTGGAAGTTACAGGTGGTGCAGAATATAGCAGTCTGCTTTCTGAAAGAGGTGGGTTGCCAGGAGCACATTACTCCAGTGCTCCAGAGTCTGCATTGGCTTCTGATAGGTTTCAAGTTGCTATTCACTTTGTTCCAGGGGTGCAATTCAAGGTGTTGGTTTTGACCTAAAGGTCCTAAATGCACTTGACCCTTTTGTTTGGTAAGGCCGTTTGTTGCCATTCCTGTTCAGTGTGTATACAAAACTGCTTGGTGAGATTTGTGCATATCTTTGGAGTGAGGTGCCTTCAGTATGCTGATGACAACCAGCTCTATCTTTCTAATCTCTTTTCTGGAAAGAGACCCAAGTCTCTTTTCTAATCTGACCCAACTGTTTCCTTTTTGCCCTATCTTGATGCCCTATGGTCAGCTAAGAACAGTCTCCTGCAAATACCATTGATGTGTGTACCTAGTTCATGGGCAAATCTAGGATTGGGGCACATGCACAGTGAAGAGAGCTTGAGTTGCATATGTGCTATACAGCTGAAGGGGAGGTGGCTGCAGCCCCTTGCTGTGATCCTGGATGCAAGTGACTTCTCAACAACTTCTTCTGGGAGCTCTACCTGTGATCTCTGGGTTCTGCCCAGAATCCTTGCTTTTCAAGCAGGGATGTCTCCCTCCCCTCCTCCCCGTCAGCTTTCAACAGCAGGCAGAGGAGGTGGTCAGATGAACGCCCACAGCGCTGAGCCTCAGGCTGCATGAAAGCTGTATATTGCTTCTGGCTGCTCCTCCCCTCCTTTTCCCTGCTACTGAATTTGGGCTAGGGAGAAAGGAAGGGAGGACTGAAGAGATGCAAGGGCTCTGGCAGTCTGCCCTGACCAGTGGTGAGTTCATGGAGCTCACAGCACATGTGGAGCTCCCAGCAAGAATGTGCTGACCTGTGGGTGAGCTGTAAGAGCTCCCAGTGCATGCAGTGCACAGCCAAAGGGTTGCATGGCTGCACCACCCCACCGCTGGGTCCACCCCAGACCAAGTTCCCTTAATGAAATAATAGTTTAACAGGTATTTCTTAGTTTCCCCTCAGTCTGCAAAATGCGTCATTGCCTTCCCCCCCTTGAGGCCCACCGCAGTTCAAGCCTGGACATCTTGCAGAAACGTTATAGGACCTTCCTGTGTGGTCAGGGATTTAACAAGATATACTAAGCAGGGATATTGGGAGTTTTTGTTATCTCATCCTGCCTGCTTTATAAGTTTTGTCTCTTACTGTAAGCTTCCCTGGGCCTTTGCTGGGAAGCATGGCATATAAATCTAATAAATGATTATTAGATTGTAGCAAATTCAGGCCTAAACATACTTTGTCATTTAACTTTTAAAGTTTAGGCTTATTTAAAAAACAAAAACTTAAATCACTTTTCTACCCTGCTAGACCCCACCTGGTGTTCCATGAATGCTGTTATACATGGAAATAAGCTATATGATTATCAGTCATCCCCACTTTTTTCTCTTGAAGGGCTTTTCTTTCCGCTGGTAGAACCTTCTGCACAAAACTAGGCACAGGCAAATACAGTAGGTATTCCTTGTCAGTTGCTTGGTAAAGAAGGGAACTCAAGCCCCGTCTCTTCATATTTCCCTACTCCTTCATTATCTTAACATCTCCATAACAAATGTAAAATCTGGAAAACGATGGACATTCATCCTTATTTCAATTGCATGATAGATTGCCTCATTTGTGACGACCATGGCATTCAGAAATAAACAAAATCATTACTTTGATGGCATCCCTTTTATGTCAAGTGTACCGTGTACTTTATATAAGCTTATTGACCTTTTCTATATATTCTTTTTTTATTTCAGGGACAAGTCTGCGATAAGGCAAAAACTGGGAAATGCTGGCACATCCATCACATGGAAGGAATGTGTCCATGCATCTGGGAATGCAAGAATCAGAGTACCTGATATCCCAGGGAAAGAAATAGAGAAATGAGATCCACTTTCAACATTTAGGAAAAAAAGAGGGGGGGGGAAACCCCCTCCCCTCAAATTTTGAAGGAGAACAAACTTTCCCCCCCCTACCCCTCCCCCTATAAAACAAATGTAGGCAAAAGGACAAAGAAGCCAGGCCAGGCTACAGACAGCAATAAAGAAATAGGATAAGGGCAAGAGTTCACTGTAGACTGTTGATGGAGTCATGTGGGACCAAGAGCAACTTGCACAGTTAGCCCACATCTTAGTGTAAAGCAATCTGGCTTGTGGTTTTGGCTCTTTAGTATTGCATTACCTTTTTTTTTTCTGCTGCTGGCTCCCACAGTTTGTGCTAAAATTGTTTT